ACCATTACATGTGTTGCACCTATAATAACGTCTATGTATAGCATCTACCCTGTAAAAGTGCACCCACAACATTCCTGAAGCTGGCGTGCAAAAATGTGTCTGCTTCACCTTCAAGAGTACCGTGGAAACTTGTTTGTGGGAAATTAACGATTCTTTCTGATATTTTTATAGTAATAGTCCTAGCAACTAGTACAGGTAATAGACCTCATCAGAGTGATTCTCCGGATAAGTAAAGAAAGCCCGAAACGGCCATTAACATCATGTTAATAAAAAAGTATGTTATCCCATGGTGTATTTTAAACATTAATCAAAATGTGTATCATGGAAATAAAAAAGACATAGGAATTTTACAAAAACTTGTTGACTACCGTACTGGGAACCTTTTTGGGGAACGTTAATCTATCTTCCTTTCACTGGGGCGGCGCTAGCGGGGGCACAGAGGTTTAAATGACTTCCCCTCCCCCCTCGGTCTGGGACATTCAGGCAGATGTGTATAAGAGACAGATTATATAGTAACAAATAAAAACCTAATATTAAGATTTATTGAAATAATCATACAATGCTAATATAGATTTTATAGTAAAAAATGTCATGGATTTTTTACTATTTATATTTTTTTTCATCGACGTTATAAATACACTTTGTGGATGTAGAGATGACTTTCTTTTAGATAATATCCTAACTCATTTCTGGTTCTTTTATGAGCCAAAACTTAATAATAGTTATATTAATATCTTGTATGCAGTAAACACATTTTTCACACCGTAACAGTAATAAAATCATTTTTAAAAGCCTGTTTTTTTTTTTTATAATTTTATAATTTGCATGTAGAATCTATACAATACATAATATTGGCAGCTCATATAAAATGATGTATGTACAGTATATCACTCTACGTTAATTTGAATTATTATCAAAACTAATAATAGACAAGGAAAAACTACACTACGAAATTGTGTTTATGTTAATAGATTCATAAATGGGCTCGGAGTAATAAAATATAATATTTTGTATATTTGGTACCTTCTTCCACATTTTTCTCTTAATATATCTTCTTTAATTCACAATACAGTATTTATTTTGGTCATTCAAGAAATTGTCCCTTTTCTTAACCTACCTGGTTCAGCATCATATCTGATCTCAATCAAAAAGATCAACAGTTTCTATTATAAATTCTAAAGAAATGATATGCACAGATAATAATTTCACCTCTTTCGTAATATTAATGGCGATGAAATTTACTAAAATTATATCACTCATCACAGGCATATGCTAGTGTTTATTGTTTAAAATATAGATTTCATATTCAAATATTAAAAATTCAACAATTATTGACAAAACATAATATTTTTTTAAATACATAGCATTACTATTACCCAACAATACAATAATGATTATCAAGAGACTACATTGAGACTAACATGACCTGTCACTTTAGCCTATTTTAACTACGATACGGTAAATACACACGAAACGATCTAACTGGAATCTCATTTAAATCACAGAGTATTTAGAATAATCTTTTTATTTTTTTATTTTTTATTTATTTTTATTTTTTTTATTGTTTTCTTAAGTTATATATTTATATTATCCGTACTCCTGTGTCTTTGTCTTTTTCACCTCTTTTACATATTGTGTATGCTTACATTCGAATTGCTCATAGTCTGGCTATGACCTACACAAACCCGTATATATTGCCAACTAATGTAATCATTGACCACCAATTCTGGCCCATGTGTGACGGCTGCTGATTTTCGGTGCCAGTCTGAACGAATTGTTATTAAAAACAATCCATTGCGTGCGCGTCGTTGCGTTGCATTCTGCATGGAAATGTAGAACAGGAGGTCCAAAAGGATGATGGCAAAGATAGTCTGTCATATCAGTGGTTACGGTATGCTCTTACAGAATACCTTAGAGAGAAAAAAAAAACGCAGTGACTATTTTTACGACGAGTCGTGAAGATAGCTCCCAATGCTATTCTTATGACGATCGCTAGCGCATGCGCGATAGCGTCCATCGTCGCAGAGAGAAAATAAACAGGTCTTGAACTGAACGAACCACGACACTAATTTCTAGTCTAGGCCTATTTCTAGGCCCAGAAAAATTAATTTGTTCAATCAACTTGCTTTTATATCTGATTTTTGTAAAATATAATATGCAATAAGAAAGTATAATACATACACAAGTATGGAAGTACACGCCATCGTGTCAAAATTCAATATTTTGACAATAATTAATTATGTATGAATTAGGTAAACGCACGCACGTCATCTTCACTACCATTACATGTGTTGCACCTATAATAACGTCTATGTATAGCATCTACCCTGTAAAAGTGCACCCACAACATTCCTGAAGCTGGCGTGCAAAAATGTGTCTGCTTCACCTTCAAGAGTACCGTGGAAACTTGTTTGTGGGAAATTAACGATTCTTTCTGATATTTTTATAGTAATAGTCCTAGCAACTAGTACAGGTAATAGACCTCATCAGAGTGATTCTCCGGATAAGTAAAGAAAGCCCGAAACGGCCATTAACATCATGTTAATAAAAAAGTATGTTATCCCATGGTGTATTTTAAACATTAATCAAAATGTGTATCATGGAAATAAAAAAGACATAGGAATTTTACAAAAACTTGTTGACTACCGTACTGGGAACCTTTTTGGGGAACGTTAATCTATCTTCCTTTCACTGGGGCGGCGCTAGCGGGGGCACAGAGGTTTAAATGACTTCCCCTCCCCCCTCGGTCTGGGACATTCAGGCCTCCTGTCAGGGAATTTCCAGCAGGGCCGTTGGAGAAAAATCAAATCTCGAGCGCTGAAATTACATGTCTCACTAAGCTGTCAGTAGGGATTAAAAACTGTTTAGTTATATGCCGAGGTACAGTATTGTATACTACTAAGATCGTATGGGTTGCAGTGGGGGTGCCAGCTCTTCCCCGACTGGGGGATGGTACGGTACCTTTGACAGAATAAAAATTCCACAATTAACACAAAATTTTACAAATTTTGTCGGGGAATTCCTAGCGCCATCCTGCATCATCATATCACAGTATATTTTATTTTTATTTATACATAAGTCTATATGTATTTATAAATATGATCAGAACATTATGGTAAATGGAAATGCATCAAACAAGAAAATAATCGTATTAAAAAACAAATGGCATGTTAATTTCATAAATCTCCATTTTATTAAGCATTTTAAACATGGTCAAATAATAGGGACGCAACAAACGATGACAATAGTGTCTCAAACCAATCGACTTACATTTTCCCAGTCTGTAAAAGAAAATAACACCAATTACTAAACTGTAATATTAGTAATCAAATAAAAATAATTGGTAATACAATTCCAGGAATACCTGCCATGAGTGAGGATTCCAGGTGGATTCGCGTTCACAAGATTGAACATGAAAACAATTTTGTAGGCTTCTGAGCCCTTAGGAGAGGCCTATATAGTTTTGGGCTAAACAAGCCCTAGGCTACACACACTAATTATTTTTTCATGTTTAATTTTTGTTTTACAAAATTGAAATTCATTTTCATTCTGCCACCCCACACCAGGGAGCTGTGATAAACAAGTATGAATGTAGGCATACAAACAATATGTACGCTATTCCTAGTATACCCCGCTTGCATCTACCAAGCCTGTGTGGCCTTTCTCTGGACCTAGAAAAAGGCCTAGGCTAGAATTAGCGTCGCGGTTCGCTCAGTTCAAGCGATCGTCGTAAGAATAGCATTGGGAGCTATTTTCATGACGGCTGATAGCAAAGGTGGTCTGTCATACCATGGTTATGCGTTTACAGAACACCTTAGAGAGAGAGAAAAAAAACACTCCCTGTTTGTATTCTTGCTTTCAAGTTTACTCTGCAAGTACATACCTTTAGATGGAGAAGCAAGCAGGAGCAAGAAAGCCAAAGCCAACATTTTCCAATTTCCAAACACGTAAAAAATAGTCACAGCGGAAAAAAAAATCCAACGTAATTATTATAGAAAAAAGTCAATTACTAATGTAAAAATAACTATTAATTTAATTTATTAGTTCAATATCATGATCTCAAAGTCAAATTCATGAGTAATTGCCTTGTTAACAAAAGTGACGTCTATTGACACTTAAATCAATATGTCTGAAATAAAAAGGCTATACAAAACTTCGAATGCAGAAGGTGTCGTGTCTCCGTGTTGTTAAGTAATCTGAATGAAAACCTACGCATTTTCGTAATATCAAGGAAACCTTTTATATAACTGACAGTTGAAAGCACTACAGTAACCAGGTATCATAGTAGAGCTTTCCCAGAGAAGGCACTGTGTTTGGAAATTGGAAAATGTTGGCTTTGGCTTTCTTGCTCCTGATTGCTTCTCCATCTAAAGGTATGTACTTGCACAGTAAACTTGAAAGAAAGAATACAAACAGGGAGTGTTTTTTTTTCTCTCTCTAAGGTGTTCTGTAAACGCATAACCACTGGTATGACAGACCACCTTTGCTATCAGCCGTCATGAAAATAGCTCCCAATGCTATTCTTACGACGATCGCTTGAACTGAGCCTGTCTCTTATACACATCTGTGTTGGCATTTTGTCTAGCCTATCCTAATAACAAAAATGAAAAATAAAAGAAAGCAGAGACAAATGAAATTAAAAAGAAAGGGAAAAAAGTGTGATTTAAGGCTCTGCCTAAAAACAGAGAGCGAGGAAGTCTCCTGAAAGTAAATAGGAAGTTCATTCCAGAGCTTAGAAGCCGCAACCCGAAAAGACCTCTCTCCGAATTTCAAGTGGCACCGTGGAGTAAAAAGTGTATTTTGGCTAGTGGTAGATCGCAGATTTCTGGAACACTCAGATACGACGGGGAGGAATTATGAAGGCACTTGTATGTGTGAACAAGAATTTTGAAAACAATACGCTGTTTAACAGGTAGCCAATGGAGAGTTTTAAGGGTAGGGGTGATGTGCTGTCCTTTTGGGTAGTTCATAAATGATCCCGTTACAATAATCAATTCTAGATGTTACAAGAGAATGTAACAGCTTTAATGTAGCATCTACATTCAGAAAGCGTCTAATCTGTTTGGTGTTTCGGATGTAGTACAAACGGTACAGATTTACATTATGTTGCCTACATGATGTTTCAATGACATAGTGGAGTCAAACGTCACGCCAACAATACGAACTACAACGGATGGAAATATAATAGTAGCATCACCAACTCGAACACTTAATGCATTTGGCAAGATTATACGACAGCGCGAGTGGATATAGTGCGTTAGTCTTGGTTAGGTTGAAACACAGCATATTACTGGACATCATCTAAACATGCTTTCATTGACCTCACTGTTTAACATAGGGACTCAGGTTTAAAAGCGATGTAAACTTGCGTATCATCCGCATACATGTGATATTTACATGCATGTTTAGAAATAAATTCACCAAGAGAACGAATTTAAAGCAGTAAAAGGATGGGTCCTAAGGTCGAGCCTTGAGGAACTCCACGGGTAAGATATTCAGGGTTTGATAATAGAGACGAAATGCGAACAGATTGTCGTCTAGATGATAGGTATGAACGGAACCACGTTAAAGCCAAACCCGAAATGCCTAGGCCTACATTTTCAAGTCTACAAAGGAGGATATGATAGTCGATTGTGTCAAATGCAGCTGAAAGATCAAGGTAAACTGCAAGGACACACAGGCCCTTGTCTATACCTGTCTCTTATACACATCTAGATGTGTATAAGAGCCAGTCGTTGAAATACCTACAAGATTCTGTTATTTTATTATGTTTATAATGATATAGATCAGGCCTACAAAAATGTACCTGTAATTGCTGTCTCTTAATGTAAAAATAACTATTAATTTAATTTATTAGTTCAATATCATGATCTCAAAGTCAAATTTATGAGTAATTGCCTTGTTAACAAAAGTGACGTCTATTGACACTTAAATCAATATGTCTGAAATATAAAGGCTATACAAAACTACGAATGCAGAAGGTGTCGTGTCTCCGTGTTGTTAAGTAATCTGAATGAAAACCTACGCATTCTCGTAAAATCAAGAAAATCTTTTATATAACTTTTGACAGTTGAAAGCACTACAGTAACCAAGTATCATAGTAGAGCTTTCCCAGAGAAGGCACTGTGTTGAGAAATTGGAAACTGTTTTCTTTGGCTTTCTTGCTCCTGATTGTTTCTCCATCTAAAGGTATGTACAGTAAACTTGAAAGAAAGAATACAAACAGGGAGTGTTTTTTTTCTCTCTCTCTAAGGTGTTCTCTAAACGCATAACCACTGGTATGACAGACCACCTTTGCTATCAGCCGAAGAGATTCCAATAAGTGATATGACAATTCAAACTCTTTTAATGTTGTTTGAGAAAAAAAAACCATCCTAAATCATATCAATCCACCAATAATTTCATATTTGGTGAATTTTTATAGTGTTATATACCGGTAACCATTTAAACATGAAAAAGAATTTTCCGCTTAAAATGATAAAAATGACTTTTGAAAAACTCTCTGTTATTTTACTTAGAAGAAAAACTTAATACTTCATGCAGTATTTACCTATTATTAACCAAATTAGATAGTAACATACGAAATGACATTATTGAAACATTTTTTAAATAAATGACACTAAATTTGAGCCAAAAACGTTCAAAAAAGCATTTATAGAACCAATTCGATAGTTAGGATTACCGGTGATTTTGACGTCAGTATTTCTAAAAAGGCCTAAGCTTTACGTTAATACCAATGTAGCTACTAATACCGTGCATATAGGAAATTATTTAAATACTTCCACACCCCGCCCCATCCCCCCCCCCCCCCTCCTAAAAAAAAAAACCCCCGTTTTTTTCCGTTTTTTTTTTTATTGAATTTAGCTCTCTACGATAAAATGATTTGCACACAATTGGACTATGTGGTGCCCAATGTAAAAACAATACACTCGAAATGGAGAGGGGGGTGATGGGAACGCGCCAAGGTGAAGTGTTGGGCTCGATGATTAAGTGTAGGTGTTTAGCACGCAAAATAAGCTGAGCGTGATCTTTGTTTTTTTTTTTTTTAATATTTCCTCTGGAGAGGAGATACTGATTGGGTGGACGAGACAGAGGGGTGGGCGACTTTTTATTTATTCGGGTGGAAAAAAAAAGATCACAGAAGTAATTGAGAATCTAGAAGGAAATGAACGATTGAATTGTGAATTGGTGTGTAACTGGGGCTTTGACGGTTCGTCAGGCCACAGTGAGTCGGATACTGGATGACAGCAGCATATTGTGGACTAATCTTCGTTCATTTGCAATTAGGGTTCAAAGACAGTATTTTATGGCAAAACTCGGTGCCTTCTTCGTCAAGATTTTGCCGACATATTCACCTTCAATTTAATAAAGAAACGACAGAGCTCTCCAAGTGAGAGCCTAAATCTGTTCAAAACGAGATCAACAATTTGCAATGAAAATAACTTTAGATAGTAACTATGAACTGGCAGGAGATGAAAACTGAGAAGGCAACTTCCAAATAAACTACGATTTGCATTCGAAATGCTTATCCACATTGCCTAGAGAATGCCAATAAAATAGTGTCGTGTATTTCATTTGCTACAGTAATGAGTAAGCTAACTTTGCCGATATGAAGAAAAAAGTACATGATAGAATAGCACTCAAAGTAGAACATGACATCTTCACTGACAAATGAAAGAATTTTATTTTAATTTTGAAAGTAGGAGAAAAGACCCCTACAATGCCTGGGAGAATTTGAGTTCATTTGAAGTCAAATAATGATTTTGATAATAAATCATTATGTATGGTTCAAATATCGGTCTGCAGAAGCTTACCAATATAATAATGTATTAATGTTATATTTATATAGCGCATATTGCACATTGCCCCTATGCGCTTTACAGAGAAATAATATAGGCCACTGAGAAAAAAGCAAATAACAATAAAATAATAACAATAAAATAAAATAAAAATAATCATAATAGCAATAATAACAACGAGACTAAACTACTCCTATTCCTTAAACTAATTAATGGTTGGCCGTTGACTTCGAGGAGCTCATCCGCCCTTTGTTCTTGCTGCGGGGTGACCATAAACACCCTCCCCTCAGCAGCCACTAAGACATATTTGAGAGGGTTGTCAGTTTAGTCGCCGACGCTTCGACCGGATGGAGTTTAATGTCGTACCCAGGACGTCCCTAACTACATAATATGTAACATAACATTAAAACTGATATATGTAAAACCTATATTATATGTTTTACATATATCAGTTTTAATGTTATTTCAGATCAAAGGTTATTTAAAGTCAAATACTCGAAACATGATATAATGAACTGGTACATGTAGTTAGCGAAAAAAAGTTTCCCATGTTCATGGCATTTGCTCGAATAAGCTCGAAAATTCAAAATAATCGCCATATTTCTTTTCAATAATCATAGTTACGGCAGAAATTACAAACAAATGTGTTTAAAACATTTAGAGAGCTTGACGAAAGTGAATGTTGTTGTCTCAAGCTTAGTGCAACACCTTACATCCAATAATTTATTCGACCCATTCCAATCTGCGTATCGCAAATTATACAGTAGGCTACGGAGGCAGCAATATTGAAAGTCCATGATGATATTATGTATAGACAAGGGCCTGTGTGTCCTTGCAGTTTACCTTGATCTTTCAGCTGCATTTGACACAATCGACTATCATATCCTCCTTTGTAGGCCTAGGCATTTCGGGTTTGGCTTTAACGTGGTTCCGTTCATACCTATCATCTAGACGACAATCTGTTCGCATTTCGTCTCTATTATCAAACCCTGAATATCTTACCCGTGGAGTTCCTCAAGGCTCGACCTTAGGACCCATCCTTTTACTGCTTTAAATTCGTCCTCTTGGTGAAGTTATTTCTAAACATGCATGTAAATATCACATGTATGCGGATGATACGCATGAAAGCATGTTTAGATGATGTCCAGTAATATGCTGTGTTTCAACCTAACCAAGACTGACGCACATACATCCACTCGCGCTGTCGTATAATCTTGCCAAATGCATTAAGTGTTCGAGTTGGTGATGCTACTATTATATTTCCATCCGTTGTAGTTCGTATTGTTGGCGTGACGTTTGACTCCACTATGTCATTGAAACATCATGTAGGCAACATAATGTAAATCTGTACCGTTTGTACTACATCCGAAACACCAAACAGATTAGACGCTTTCTGAATGTAGATGCTACATTAAAGCTGTTACATTCTCTTGTAACATCTAGAATTGATTATTGTAACGGGATCATTTATGAACTACCCAAAAGGACAGCACATCACCCCTACCCTTAAAACTCTCCATTGGCTACCTGTTAAACAGCGTATTGTTTTCAAAATTCTTGTTCACACATACAAGTGCCTTCATAATTCCTCCCCGTCGTATCTGAGTGTTCCAGAAATCTGCGATCTACCACTAGACAAAATACACTTTTTACTCCACGGTGCCACTTGAAATTCGGAGAGAGGTCTTTTCGGGTTGCGGCTTCTAAGCTCTGGAATGAACTTCCTATTTACTTTCAGGAGACTTCCTCGCTCTCTGTTTTTAGGCAGAGCCTTAAATCACACTTTTTTCCCTTTCTTTTTAATTTCATTTGTCTCTGCTTTCTTTTATTTTTCATTTTTGTTATTAGGATAGGCTAGACAAAATGCCAACACTATTCGAGCACCTGTGAGTCATGTACATGCTAACAACTGCTTGTCAAATCGCAGGTGAACGGTGCGATAGTGTTGATTCCTTCTGCATTAGTCTGTTTCGGTTGTTTATTTTAGTTTGGTTCGCCTAGGTGACCCTCTTGAATAGATTTTATTTTCTGTTTTTCTGTTCAGCGCACAGAGACCATGTATTATGCGCTATATATAAATCTCCAACCATTACCATTCTAGAAATTGTACCTCCATTACATGCCCCTATAATATGCAAATTAGCTTAATTGTACAAATAAGGTGGGAAAATATTATATAGGGCATATTGACAACCACTGGTTGTAGAAAAGTATTTCTTTTTTCAGAATATTCAGTATATGTATATTTCTATTTCTTCCAATGAGATATATTTTTCTAAAATGACGTAATTTTTGACACATAATATACTCCTCCTAGAACCTTGGATTTTTAACACCTCCCAGACCTTTAGAAATTGACTCTCCCACTGTCTTGGTGTTCGCACCCTCATAGATCAATTGCTTAAAATGTCATGCTTCTCTCACAAAGTGCACGGTTTGCCATTTTTTTTTTCTTTTTTCTTTTTTGGACTTAGATCCTACATTCGAAGAAAATGATTACATTTGTGGGCGAAGACGTCATGCTTTGCTGTTACATTTGTGGGCGTTGTTGTTACATTTGTGGGCGCTGGTTGTTAAATTTGTGTGCATTATTACATTTGTGGGTGGTGTGTTGTTACATTTGTGGTTGTTATTACATTTAATGGAGTTTTCACATTTGTGGGTTCAACAGGGGACAACATATTCGAAATAGATTAGTAGCTCTAATTTCAATATATGCATTTAAATTTTAAAATATAGTGGCAAACGGATGTGGGGCACATGCCCTCGTGCTCCTAGATCTCACTAGATTCATTATCATCACTACCCTTATAGTCGAAATGAAGGGCATACAAATTTCTCATGATATTTATTTAGAATTTTCGGCACTCATAGAGATTTAAATAATCTGTGTGATACCATAGAAAATAAAACTTTAAAACATTGTCCACACCCATCTCAGCTACATAATGGTTGGGGCTAAGGAGCAAACATGGCCGGAAAACATCACCATCATAGTCAAAATGAGGTGCCAACACATTTTTCATGATCTTTTATTATGATTTTTTTGGCAGTCATAGAGGTCTAATTCTAATTAATCACTGTAATGCACCATAGATAATAAAACTTAATTATTTTTGATGAATTGCCGAAAACCAATCTTATCTTTACACGCATTTTTTATTTTGTATCATACTTCTCAAATTATAATAAAGGCACGTGCACTCAAGTCGTGTATAGGTCATTTCTGATATTTGTATGGAGAGTTAGACCAGTATCTTACTATAACTAGGTGTATCTGGCTGTACAGGGCTCTCTCGTTAAAACCTGGGTCATTTATGCAGTTCATTTCAAAAATGTTCAGGCATCTTTTGACTTTTGAAATCACATTGCCGCCAAAAAGTAAGGAAACCAACCCCCATTAAAAAATATGTGGGAGACGTGTCCCCCTGCTCCTCCCACCATGGGCGCAGGTGATGGTGGGAGGACCAGGGGGACTTATGATAAGAAAAACACTGGTCCACTGTGCGGCGTCTCAATGCCTAACGCTCATAGGGAGCAAAGTTGGATTCGTTTGTAAAATACAGCCAGCCTAAAATGGTCTTTTTTTCATTTCTGATTATTGTATTGTAACGCACAGTACTAACTAATTACTATATGGAACAATTAAAGCTCTGTTACAAGTCTCATTGAGGTTTCTAGAGTAAAGTTAATAATATTCCAATATGTAGGTATATATTTCAATGACGTTACTGACAAAAAACAGAACCCAAAACATTTTATTGTCAATTAGCATTCATATAATATTTGCATTCATTCTTAGATTTCGTAAACAATTAATCTTGCAGCAATATGTCATAATTATTATGTGATCAATAAACGGAAAATATTTTTTTTTAAATCTTATAGTCAAATCAGCAATTCACTTTCTGTCAGTGTCAAAAGTGTATGGAACTCTGCCGTCGAGTCATTCGGTACATCATTCATCAGTTAGAGGTTTGTCAGATTGTGTACAAATTTGTTTACGTCAAATTATTGACTGTTCTTCATTAGCTTACGATGAAAACAGACGGATATGTGACGTATTCGCCAGCAAAGATGGATATGAACAAAGCGCCCTGGTGTTTACAACGAGTGTATTGCTATACCAAGTTTCGAGAACGTATCTGGATTGTACAGATGTGAAGCAAAGGCTAAGTTGTAAAAGTGGAGTTTATCAAATAAAACCATGCTCATCGTGTGACGCGTTTTTTGCTTATTGTGACATGGACACTGATGGTAAAGCGTGGACAGTAAGTTTTGAAATACGTTAATTATTATAGATAAATTAATTATTCGTTGAGAGCAAGTAATTACATTGTAACATAGGCCTATATATATATATATATTATTATTATTATAATTATTATTATTATTTTTATTTTTATTCTTATAATGATCACTACCCTACCTTATAATGATTTACCTTCATCTGTACAATTTGATTTGCCCGATTATAAACATGTTAATGGTGGAGGAGGCCTATAGTTTATCCGTAATGGAATTTTATTTATAGCGCGTTTGTTTGTTTGTTTTGGTTTTTTTTTTTATTTTTTTTTTGTGTTTTTTTATTTTTTTTTAGTATACAATTACAGGTACATTTTTGTAGGCCTGATCTATATCATTATAAACATAATAAAATAACAGAATCTTGTAGGTATTTCAACGACGAAAAGATGGCTCTGTAGATTTCAACGAAAATTGGCAAAATTATGCGTGTGGTTTTGGTAATCTGAGTGGTGAGTTTTGGCTCGGGAACAAAAGAATCTACGAAATTATGTCGTCAGCGACGTATGAGTTTCGGATAGATATGATAGATAGAGATAACGGTCGTGCTTATTACGCCACTTACGAGTCAATTAAGATTGGAAATGAAGCTGAAAACTACAGACTGAAATTGGGAGGCTACATCAACGCTACGTCTACTGCTGGTAAGAACCATAGAACAGTCAACTAATATTAATAATTTGATAAATCTTGAATATTATGTTAATAGCTGGTCACGTGGCTAACACAAAATTCGAGTTGCAGCAGGAACTTGTGCCACCAAAATAATTGGCTAAACATAGATTTTCACCAGTTTTTAAACGGTTGGTTAAAACAAACGTCACAAAAGAAACACTGCCCCTAAAAAACACGGTTGTAAATAGAAAATAGAAAGAAAATCAATGTGATATGCCACTTTTCATAAGCTGCTTTAACGGCAAGACGGGATATTTTTCTATTTGTAGATTGACTGTTCCGAGGGCCTTTGGCTTTCTCAGACTGGATGCTCTTTATGGGTCCCGGTCGCCAATTCTATTGTTGGATTTTCTAGTATTTTCATTAAAAGAAACTCATTCGTTATAATCTCATATGACATTTTCCATTATGGAAATATAGGGTGTACACTCCTTTAAATACTTACTTTTATTTACTTTTTTATTAGTAGTCAGCAGGCTTGGACTGAAATTGTAGGATCATAATTAAACCTGATTACTTTATTTTAGGTTCTAATAAAAATAATGTTTAGGCTCATGGCATTCGCTACTGGATGAGTTTAGATAGATTCTCTGAAGTTGATTCGGCGACTGGAAGTTGGGAACACAAAGGGTCGCCTCCTGGGCTTTTTACGGGACCTTTCGGGACACCTAGATGTCCGGGGCCTTGCTCACCACCAGACAAGAGCGCATATGGTTGCGCAATTGTGGACACTTGAACATTTCTCTAAGTATGAGTTTCGAAAGGGTTTTCTACATCATGAAATTCAATATGAATATTTGATATTATCAATTAGGCCTATATGATATTGTGCCCAATTAATCACCATTTGAGGACGTCGGCCTACTGGATATGCACTTTACAATAACAGTTAATACGTTAGGTTGGGAAAAACATCATTCACGTATAATATATGAAACAAAATTTGTTCCATCGTGATTCAATGTTAAATGATTAGCCGAAAGAATTTTAAAAGTGTTTAACTCTTCAATATTTTGTGATGATTTTCAGTTGAAGCTCTTGATGACGCACAGAACATGGAATTTTATACAAATGATCGGGATACTGCCAATTGTGGTGCGTATTTTAAGAGTGGTTGGTGGTTCAGCGCATGTTTTCGTTCAAATTTAAATGGTGAATATGGATCACAATACATAATCTGGGATGCCACAAAAAGTAACCGTCTTTTAAAATTTTCAGAAATGAAAATTCGAAGAATTGGCTGAGGAGAACATTTTACACACTGTTATTCTGTCTCGGCTGGTGTATTGCATGCTTTTGAATTACAATTTGTTAGCTGCCTTTGAATAGCTTTTCTGCCATTTAAGTATAACATTAGAGAAACATTGTATTTTGTATTGAATATTTGCCGATTTTACGACAATAGTAAAAGACAACGTAATATTTTACGACTGCTTGTTATGAAAATAAGAATTGATAATGAAAAACAAATAGCCTAGCCAAATATTCATTTCTGACGACATACCCTCCTGATGTACTGTTTGTTAGCTGCCTACTTAGAGGTGCGATAAAAAAAAAACACACTTACGAAATTAAAATAATTAACAAATTAGACACACGTTTTGCAGAAAAAATAACTCTAAAAATTAATTTCATAAGTAACAAAAATGATAATAATATTGATGATCAAGCTGTTTTGGCAGCATAGTTGGTCACCCATCAAACACAAAACGTTCTTATTACGTTCGCGAACGTTGTGGTTAGGTATGTCACAAAATAACGTTCACACAGCGTTGTAAAAACGTGCAAACGTTGTGAAATTAGGTTATAAGTACGTACATATGGTTGTACAAAATAACGCTTTATCACCAAACTGTAACGTTATTATAGCGTCCTTAGAACGTAATATTGTTAGCAAGGCATAGGGCGATGACGGCAGTTTCTGCGTCAGGCAGCCAGGGTGGTTGCATTTTCGGTAGTTATGTTGGTGACGGCAGCAGCGAAGACGATAATTATATATTTAATATAAACATACAATGTTACAATTGAATATATTTAATCTTTTGGTGTATCAAAACTTTATGTTATGATTGTGGATATAGAATTATGTTTAAATACAGTATGTACAATTTGCTTGAATTGAAACCAGCATAGAGGAAAAATAACGGTATAAGCAGCGTGGAAAGACACATATCCGACAGTGTGCTTTCAGAAATAGTTGGAATGGTATTTCTAGTGCCGTAACGAAGAGGCATTAGGCTCCTGACTACCCTGGCCACTGACAGCCGCGTAAGCCGGTGTATGAGGAGTATCTGTCCGCTTCTGCGTTTTTGGATTTTAAATGGTGTATTTGAAGTATTTTCAACTCTGTAACTAGCCTCGCTAAAGACATTTTTAATCCATGGTCCAGGCAAAAAGTGGTGTTAAATGGCTCATGAATTCTGTATTATTTATTTATGCTATGTTCCATGTATAATACTTATATTCATAACAAATGAAAAGGTTAAAAGCCTAAACAGCCCAATATTAAAAACTATGTAAGACAAGAAGAAATAGGTCTCCCAGTCAAACAAATTGCAAAAGTTGTTTAATTGCTGAAATATGTTCTTTTGCTTGTAACAATTAGCATATCCAAAATATACCTTGATTGGCCTTTACTAAATTACCTAATTTACATAAATTCAAAATGGCCGCCATTCGGACACTGCAGCTAATTCTCTCCTTAACCATTACATTTTAAGCATATAAATGTATTGGGTACAAATATGTGTCCTTATAAAAATATTTCAAAGAATATTCCTTGGCCTCATCGGTTTTGGGTTCGAATCCCGGTGAGGCCAATGTGTTTTCTTTAAAAAATTATGAATAATAAGACATTGTTATCTTTAATAGATCTTTCCCGACCATTGGATACAATAGTAAAAAAACAAAAACAAAAACAATAGCGTATACAAAAACTTACTATCATATGAAATATTTAATATCTTGGCCTGCATTTAAAATCCTATGGCATCGAATGTCATTGTTTCGAATACGCCGTGACCACTTGACTTCAAGAATCTTCCTCTGACACTCATGCCGAAGACATCGAGCTTTACGTCTTCTCTCACCCCCCCCCCACTTCCCTCTCTCTCACTCTCCTTTTCTCAGGCGCCATCATTTCGCACTATAAAGCAGCGTTGAAAGCACACATTCATTATAAATATATATATATAT